GATTTCAGAGTTTGAAATGCCCCAGCAGCTATCTGGTCCAACCTATCTCTAAAAACCATGCCCTTCCTTCTACTCCATCCCCCTAAATTGTCATCCAGCTTCTACTTCAAGACTTCCAATGAGGAAGAACCCCCTACCTCCCAAGGCAGCTCATTCAAATCCAGGTAGCTATCGCTGTTGAGGAGCTGTCCAACATCCTGCTTAAATCTGCCTCTCTGAAACATTCACCTCTGGACAGAAAAGCCCACTACCTTTAGAGGCAATTTGATCTACTTCTGGATAATCCTAATCATTAAAATTTTTTCCTGTTAAATTAAACCTAAACTCTTTCACTACACTATCCACCCATAGCTTCTTATTCTATCTGGGGGGTAAGGGCAAGCAGAATAAGGCTACTTCCTTCTCTACCAGTCTCTCAAATTAATCACCTTCTAAAAAGTCTTCTAGCAACAATTTTTCATGAAGATTAAAGAGCTGGGTGGCTTTTACATATCATATAATTGACTCCATTTTTTTTATTTTTCTGGATTTCCACAACCCCTAAAAGTCCCACTTCATTTAATTCAAGTTCCCAAATTACTTATCTGTTTTTTTATGTGGTATCCCCCAGGAGAATATAAGCTACTGGGGTCACTGTAGCCCCAGGTCTACAACTTTGCAGAGTGGGGAGATAATTGGCAAGCAAGTTGTAGGGGGTTGTCTGGGGTTCAGACAGGCTAAGGGAATTGCAGAGGTCACATAATCAGAGGCAGAATATTAATTCAAACTATTCACCCAGGCTCAACCCACCACACCACTGCCCTTCCTTGCACGTAGCAGGTGCTAAATAAATGATTGGTGAATTGTTTGATGACACCAGGTCCCTAAAGAAAGACTTTGCAGGAATCTTCTTGATCATTGCAAAGGCAGACCGGCTAGCAGTCAACCAAACAGAAGGCATTTGGACAAAACATTGAACTCTAATTAGCCGACTGCTCCCCACCCCCAACCTGTATGACTAAAGTCTCTACTCAGTCCCTGTAAAGCAAAGATCCTTAGCTCAAGCTCTACATTTCCTCATTTTTATGGCTTACAGTCAACTCTATTAGCCTTATTAAACACAGCTCATTGTGGTTTCAGAGATAAGTGATTTCCACATCACACTGAATATTTGTGCGTTCTATGTCATTTAAGATCTTTCTGCAAATCTGGCCCAGAAGACCCTGTTTTGTGGTGTACTCATACCATGATAAATAAAACAATTCTATTTCCCACTCCTAAACCCACTGTTAAATTAGAGAAAACAGTGTGCTCCTGCCATTGGGCTCCATCAGAATGCTGCTGAAGGAGAGACAGAGAGAAACAGTGCAGGTGAGCATTGGGCCTGGGGTCAGTGCACTTGATTCAAATCCCAGCCCCCATAAATGAGGGGTTTGCTGATCATCTGATCACCTCTAAGGTCCCTTCCAACTCTAAATAATAATAATAATTAGTAGTAATAATATTGCTGATGATGGTAATGATAATTATTATTATTACCATCATTAATTATTATTGCATACTGTTTGCAAAAACACTTTACAAGTATTATCTCACTTATTATCTGTGATTGTATGATCTGTTGAGATGATGACAAATGGAATCAATAATCACACATCTTGACTGACTGAGCTATTATCTAGTATGGAGGCAGGGACTGGAATAATGACAGCCCATGTTTATAAGGCACTTTTCAAATATCTCATTTGATCTCCCAAATAACCCTGGCAGGTAGGTGATATTATTATCCCCATTTTAGAGATGAGGAAACTGAGGCAGACAAAAGTTAAGTGACTGGACTAAGTCCAGTGCTCTATATATTACGCCACCTAATTGCCCAAATTCTTGAATTTCCTTGCCAGATCATCATTGATATCCTTCAGTTTCAGAATCCATAGCCTCTATCATTCCTAAATCACTTGGGGAGGGGCTAGGCAATGGGGTTAAGTGACTTGCCCAGGGTCACACAGCTAGTAAGTGTTATATGTCTGAGGCTGGATTTGGACTCAGGTCCTCCTGATTCCAGGGCCAGTGTTCTATCGACTGTGCCACCTAACTGCCCTTTATCATTCCTTAAATAAAGGTTTGAGATGAAATGCAACATTAATTGGAAGGAAGGGGGATCCAGGTCTGTGCTCTCTTTGGGCTGGGGAGCTCCCAGTGTGGAAACTATCTCCACCAATGCAAATCAACTCATCTGCAACTCAGAGATTGAGAGAATTGCCTGAGGGCACAGAGAGGTTAAGAGATTTCCCATTGGTCACACCACTAGAATGTGATGGAGGCAGCACTGGAACCCATTTCTTGTAAGATTTATTACAATGTCCTAACCTCGTAGAATGCCCACATTGTGATAAAGGCCCTCCATTCTATGACTTGTCCACCCTTCCACTAAGTCACCTGCCTAAGAGGCAATGGGGGAATATTCTAGAGGCACCAAATAGCAATGAAGAATCATCAGCCTCGGAATCTTGCCTTGATTCACTCATTCTTTCATACCTGAAACAGGAAGCTGTTATATTCGTGACTGAATCTCACAAACACAAGGCTAAACCCCAAACTTCTAACTGCTCTACAACAGAGAAAGCAGATCCCAAATTTCAAGATGGAAGGACCCATCCTAGTCACCGAAGTTCAATCTCCATTGTCCTGAGGACACTGAGATCCCAGAGAATGAACTGGCATGCCCAAAGTCACATGAGTAGTGAAAGACAGAGCCACTAAGTGATGGCCTCAATGAAGTCGATCTTTAGCTATCCATTGATTCAGGCCCAGAACTAGGCAAGACAACAGTTTGTAAACCTAGTGTTGGAGTTATTGTATGTACTTGAAAGGAAATGTTTATCAGTTTGCAAGTCACCTATCCTCTTCGCATGGGCAGCTAGCTGGGGATGTAGCACAGGGATTAGAACCAGGAAGACTCATCTTCCTAGTTCAAATCATGTCTCAGACACTTCCTAGCTGTGTGACCCTGGACAAACCTGTTTGTATCAGTTTCCTCATCTGTAAAATGAGCTGGAGAAGGAAATGGCAAACTACCCCAGGATCTCTGCCAAGAAAACCCCAAAAGGGATCATAAAGAGTTGGATACAACTGAAACACCTTAACAACAATAACTAACTTCTCCGTGTCTCCAAACAACTCTCAATATATTAGATGCAGAGAAAGTGTCATATACATCAGTAGAGAGAGGTTTTTCTCTACCAGTGAAATCACAGGTCAGCAAGTTTAGCATCAAAGAAGAGATACGAGAAGACAACTGTACTTTTTGTTCAGATGTAGAGGAATCATGCAGTGGAACACTGCACTATACACAGCATTAGGCTTGTTCTATGTGGGTTAATTTTGCTTTGTTGGTTAATTCATTTTTTTCCTTTATTATAAGGGAGGGGTAAAGGTATGGCTATATTGGGAAATGTGGGTGATGTAAAAACAAAAGATCTCAATATAATTTTCCAAAAAGAAACCATGGATAAAATCCCACTCAGGCATGTATATGTGAGTATGTATAAATGTGCTATAGAGCAAAAAACTGTTCATTAATTCAGTAGAAATTTTCTCTCCTTTAATCAAATATTTATACTACTTGAATGTGGGTGCATCAGTCTGTTAGAAAAGAAATACATATAACTATCTCTCAAACCAAAGAGAGAGAACTAACCTCCAGGTCATGAAGTCCTTGGTTTAAGTCCCAACACATAGGCTGTAGGACCCTAGGCAGGGTCCTTTACTGTCCCCAAGGCAAATGTCTAGGACTGTAAGCCAGTTGTCATTCTAAAGTGCTAGAGGGTGTCCTTAGCTGAAAATTTCCTAAACCAATAAAATCCCAGGTTTGGTAACTGGATGGGGAATATAGTCATACATAAAACTCAGTCCACTGCCCACATAGACGGTCCATAAGCCACCACTCATGAGAAGAACTAAGTAGGGTCATTCAAAATCATTAGAAAGAAGAGGTTTAATGTTAGATAAAGGTACTAACACATCTCTGCTTATGTGAAAACTACTACCTTTTGCTTTAAATTACCATCAAAGCCAAGTTCTAAAAGTTTGAATGTCTTCTAAGAGGATTCGCCATGTTTTGTTTTGTTTTGTTTTTTTATCCTAAAAGAAAGTTAGCAGTTAACAAAGTATACAGTTAACATCTGTATAACTGATATCCCTTTTTAAAAGGATACTGACACCTCCCAGAGACATTCAACCCCAAACCACATCTGGATGGGGCTGATCTCTCCATTTGCACTAGATATGTTTACCCACAAAAGGGCATATTTCTGCAAGGCTTAGGCATCTCTGTGCATAGAGGAAGAAAGTGATATTGGAAGTCCAGGATTTGAATTGGAGTCAAGGATCCCTATGGTGAATAGGGCACTTTCAGAACAAGTTACTCAGTTACACATGTAGGAAAATAGAAGCTGTCAGACCAATGATCCATTTCCTATCAGTGGAAGGTTTTGCCTTTGGCAAAGGAGATCCTTCATACTTTCATGAAAGAGACTGTGGGAATGCTGGGAAGCAGGAGGGCCTACAGCTGTCAGACTTTACAAGGCTAGAAAAAATATATATCCCTTCTGGATTATTCCTGAAGTCAGGTTTCACTAGGTATCATTATCTTAGCTTACCGGGCTGCAAATGTCATTAACACTTATAATGGACACTCAGATGATCTAGTCTTGTTAAAACTTCATCAGAAGTCTCTCCAACACCTCCTACGGGGATGGTTGCCATTCACCTGGCTTAATTGTACTTCTTGGGGAGGGGGGACAACAAATTGACTGTCATTTATTGTAGGGAAGTGGGACGGCTCAATTTTATCCCCCAAAGCAACAGAATGTGCATAAAACAGATGATATAACCCGACCTGGTGGAACAGGAAACCTCTCTCTCCTACCACCCCTGATCCCCGCCCCACAGACATCCCCAGACTGAAACAATAATTGCAAAAATGTAACTTTTTTGTAAAAAGGAAAGAACTTACTCACTTTCAGTGCAAATAGGACAGCATCCCTTTCTATTCAGAATTTTACCCTGATGAGGAAGAAAAGAACATATTCATTTCAATGAACAGATTACTTTTCTAAGAGCTAACATGTCTGTAACATTTTAGGGTGTGCAAAAGGTTTTACGAGCATTATTTCAATTGATCTTCAAGTCCATTCCAAATCAAGAACTAGGATTCTATTTATTTCCTAGTATGGAAATTCCCTCTTCCATGCAGCTCAGCCACTGCGACCTAACCGAGAGCATTAGAAAATTGCCTGAAGCACATGACTTGTCCAAGGTCATTCACCCAGCACGTCAGTGACAGGACTCAAAACCAGATTGTCCTGACTTTAAAAGTGGCCCTCTCTCCAGTTCTCCACTTCCCCTTTCACTGGTGACCTCTACAAATGAATTCAGTACATATTTGAATTCAATCACCAGATGATGATGCCACCATGCTTTTGAGGTCCTTCTGTTGCAAGGTCAGGAGGTCTCTGGCAAAGGCAAGTATTAGAGACTGGGCAGCAAAATGATAGCTTCAAGTCCCTGGTTTTGAGACCAGGCCAAGTGACTTAAGATAATAGGTGAGAGATACAATGCTTTAAAGGCCTCCCTCATGTGACTTTTGTCATACAGAGTTAAGGTGAAGAATGTTTGGGACTCAGTCTTTTTACTGATATCCAAAACCAGTCTCTGACAGACCATTTTCCTGGATGTAATCATAAAAATGACCTTTCAGAATATCAATTCATGGAGGCCCTGCATGTATTTATTTTGGTTCACTTTCCAAAGGTTTTATGGCAAAAACAAACAAAATAACCAACCCTCTGATTCAAGTCCACAGTCATCTGACCCTTTGAATGAATGGAGTACTGATAATGCAAATCAAGCTGATTCATTTTTGTTGTCCAGGAGGCAATGTGTTATCCATGTGAATTTAATTCTACTTGGTCAAAGCCAAGACAGTTCACTGTTTCGTAAAATTGGGTAATATTCCAGAGATTCCATAGAAGTTCAATATGCTATTGAGGACCCTCTGTTGCAAAGGCAGGAAGTCTCGGGCCAAGATGAGCATTACAGACTGGGTGGCCTAGCCCACGAGCCCTGCCTTCTCTTTACATTCCCTCTCTGGGTCATCTCATCTGCTCTGCTCCTGTTGGCTCATTTGTCCTCTCTACGTAGATGGCCCCCAAACCTCCATCTCTAGCCCTCGCCTCTTTCTTGTGCTCCAGGCCTGCATCACCAGCTGCATGTTGGACATCACTTGGACATCCCATCAGTATCTCAAATTCAACGAGGAGTCTATTAACTTCTCCCCCAAATCTACTCCTCCCCCCAACTTCTCTATAACAGCCAAGGTTCTCTATAACCATCATCCTTCCAGCCACCCAAGTTTTCAACCCCAGGTTTATCTTTGACTTTTCCCTCTCCCTCACCCAAAGCTTCCAATCAATTGTTGTCTCATCCATCTCGCCTCCAAGACTCCTCTCCCGTGAGTCCCTGTCTCTCTACTCCCACAGCTACCATCTTGACTTAAGCCCTTGTCACCTTCTGGGGACTGTTACAATAGCCTCCCAAGTCCTTCCCTTCTCTAATCCATCCCACATTCAGCTGCCAAATTGAAATTCCTAAGCACGAGTATGACCATGTCCCTCTCCTACTCAAGAAGCTTCAGGGGCTCCCTACTGCCTGTAGGATACATTACAAATTCCCCTGGTTGGGATTTAAAGGCCTTCGTAATGGAGCTTTAACCTATGCTTCCAGGCTCATTTGAAATCATTCATTTGCCACACACACGATGATCTAGAAGTACTGACCCACTAGCTGTCCCTCTCCATGGCATGCTGACTACTCCTACTCTGCATCTTTGTACGGTCTCTCCCCCATTTCCCAAATATTCTCTCTTCTCACCTCCATCTCTTGGAAACTCTAGCTTTCTTCAATGACCAGCTCAAGTCCCCACTTTCCCCAAGTAGCCTTTCCTAATCGCTTCGTGAATGCCCTTCCAGCCCCATGAAATGACAGCATTGGCTTTGTATATAGCTTGTATTTCCTTGTCTATGAATACACTGTTTCCCTACCTCTGCCCAGAGAATGTAAGGGCCCTATGGGCAGGATTGGCTTCACTTTGGTTTCCATATTCCCAATACCTTGCACAGTACCTGCCGTGTAATAGATGCCTAATAAATGTTTGTTCAGTTAAATTGAGTCATGACTGGAGTTCTCTGTTCACTGGGTCAGTGGGTCCTTCATACATTCAGCCACATTTTTTCTTGTAAGCCATAAGAAGCCAATGCTTGTACTGATGCATCTACTTCCTGAGGGATTTGTGTGTGTAATGGAGGGGGTGTGGCCTTGAGGCTCATCTAAGAACCTGGCAATTCCGCTAGGCTGGAAGCCAAGGTTTATGGGTAAATCATAAGCCCAGGGGTCGGTGTCGTGGCGGAGCAAATCAGTTGCTGGATATGTAGTCAAAAGACCTGGGTTCAGATTCCTCCTGATTGCTGCAGTGACCTTGGACAAATCACTGTCTGGGCCTCAGTGTCCTCATCTGTAAAACAAGGGGGTTGGACCAGCTGACCTCAGAGGTTGCTTTCAGCTCGAGAGCTAAGAAACATGTTAAGAAACAAGAAGATGACAGAAATCAGAGTAGATCTAACTGCTATCCTCAGACCTCTCTGCCTCAGTTTCCTCTGCTGTAAAATGAAGGGATTGGACTAGCTGATCTTTAAAGGACTAAGAGATTCATGATTCTCCATCAAAGCCTCATTACTTATAACAGAAGTAGAAACATTGTCTCGGGTCGCCTGCCTGGAGGCCAATGACCCACGTCATCCTTTCCAAGGCCGTCCTTCTCAGGATGGTCATTTGTTCCTCAAGGTTCAAATAATGCAGACTGAAAGCACTTTGCTTGTCTATTGGTCAGTCAATCAATAAGCAATGATTAAGTGCCTACTATGTGCCAGGCTGGGGATACAAAGAAAGGCAAAAAATTGCTGCCCCTGAGGAGCTCACATTCTAATTGGAGGAAGCAGAGGTAAATGATGAATTACATACCAGAAACAGAATAGAAGGAAGCTCATTTCAGAAAGGAAAGTACAAGTAGTGGGAGGTGGAGAAGGTGTGAACCAGGAGCCTCCTATAGAGGGTAAGATATGGTTTATTCCTACTGAGAAAGCTAGGTGGCACAACCTGAAGCTAAGAAGACCTGAGTTCAAATTCAGCCTCAGACATTTAGTAGCTGTGTGACCCTGGGAAAGGCACTCAACCCTGTCTGCCTCAGTTTCCTCAATTGTAAGATGAAGATGATAATATTTGCCCCTACCTCCCAAGGTTGTTGGGAGGTTCAAATGATATAATATTTATAAAGCATTTAGCACAGTGCCTGGCACATAGTAGGTGCTACATAGAAGATTATTCTCTTCCTACTCAAAAGCTCATGCTGCAATGCACAAACATGGCCAGGATCTGAAGGTTGGGGAGACCACACGTCACTGAAGTCAGCCCTCATATCAAAGGAGACAAGAAAGCACATGCTTTTGCTGGCAAAATAATCCCCTCTCATCAGCAGGAGCTGTAGGAAATGGTCCGTGACATGTCCTCTTGCTCCTGGGGATATGTTCTGTTCTCCTGTGATGCTCGTCCTCTGGCCCTGAACCCATGCTCCCTTCAGCTGGGGGCCTGACTGTCCTTTTTTCTGGAAGGAGCCTACTCATCGACTGGAAGCCAGAAGGGACTGTGGGGAGTCCAACATCCTCATCTCACAGATGAATCAGGGTAAGTGACTTTCCCAAGGCCACACGGGGAGGAAGTAGCAGTCAGGACAGAAGACAGGTCCTGTGACTTTAAATCCAGGGCTCTTTTGCTAGAAAATCTGAACTTTCACCATAATATCCTGAGCATACTGGAAAGGGAACAAAAAAGGTGAATACAAGCATCCTGAAGGGAGAGATCATTTAATTTTGGTCCCCGTAATGCCAGAGCCTAGTATAGAGCCCAGCACAAGGTAAGTGCTTAACACTTGCTCGTTGATTCAGTCCCGGTGTGTTTTCCATTATCTATTCACCCAATGAGGCCTGGATGCATTTGTACACACACACACACACACACACACACACACACACACACGCACACACACACACACACACATACATGCATGCACACACACATGCACGCACATACGCATACTGGCTCAATCAGGAATAAAGTAGGAATAGAGAATACATCCCACGGAGCCTTCTGTTGGCTTGGAGGGTAGGAGTTGGGGGATGTCTTTGTGTGTGTATCCCTTTAAAATTAACAGTGGCAAAGCTGAAAAGCAAAGAAAGTAGGAAGAGGACAAGTATTCCCAATTCAGAACACTGTTGAATTAGCTAGTCCTCCCCAAACTTTATCCCTGAGAGGGAAGCATTTGGGACCAAGCGAGGGCAGGATCTGGGCCAAAGAATTCTGGCCTCCATGAAGTTATTCAGAGACCAGCATAGTAATGACAAGAGGGAGTGGAGGGCTGAGACGCCTCCTTTTAGGGACAGACCCTCAGGGGCCCCATTCAGGGCCATCGACCCAAACTGTCAGCTGCATGAGTAGTTGAGGACATGAAGAAAGCCAGGCTAGCCTGGGGGCCTGAGTGCTAGCCATTCTCTGGAAGCCCAGAGAGGAGCCCCTTCTCCATGTGGCAGGGTTTCCAGGGCACTTGGCAGCTCGACTCCAGCCTGCTGGAGCCCCTAGGTTGGCACAGCATCCTGTTTTTGTCTTGTCGAATAAGGAAGTCTATCATTGCGAACATGTGTGGCATGGGTTCATTAGCAGCCAGGGTTCCCCGAGGACTGGGATAAATGATGTGATCCCCTTCTTCTCAATGAATATTTATAAGCAAAGCATGCTGAAGTCTATTTATTATCTCTCCCCCTTTTTTTCCCTCTTCTTTTATGTGAGGTTTTCAGTTTTACGTCTGAGGTTTTTTAGAGCACGACTAATTAGGGTTTTACTCTCTCCTTCCCCACCCCCACCCCACCCCACCCCATCCCCACTTTCAGCCTTCATTCAGTTGTGCAACAGAAACAGCTGTTGGAGTTTTTGCCTTGCTTGGCACTCAGGGAAAACAGCAAGGGTTTTGTTTGCAATAATAACAGATGTGAATAAAATTAAAAGCTGTCTATAACTGGGAAGGGAGGATGTATTCTGATGGTGTGTGTGTGTGTGTGTGGTTTAATTTGCCAGAAGCTGATAGGTTGAATCTTTTTCTCCCCCAATGGGCCCTCAACCTGAAAAAGTTTCCTATTCCATAAGCTTAATTCAACAAGGCTCAGACTTTTAAAAAGATAAAATTTATTTTATGGTCTGCCCAGTTAGAGCAGGATGATGAGTAGCAGAGAAAGAAAGATTTCCATGAGAGTTCTGTTTTCGTTTGGGCTGACATTGCAGGCCTGGGGAAGGAGGAGGAAGAGGGAGAGGCGATCTGGGCAAGGGTCGGAGAGAGAACGGGGTCTACTGGGGAATGTATGAATAAATACGCCTCAAACTGGAGGGAATGATGGAAAGAAGAGTGGTCTGAGTCAAGAAGAGAGAAAAATAGAGGGAAGAGGAAAAATCAGGGAATGATGGAAAGTGAAGGCGATATTGGAGCAGAATAACAAGAAGTCAATGGGGTATGGAGTGGGGAAGGAAGCACATTTCACATAAATGATAAAGGAAATTTTTTTTTTAAATCCAGTGTTGGGGCAAGGGCAGAACTTTTGATTCAACAGAACATTTGGAGGTTCAGTCAGTCAATAAGCATTTATCAATTGCTTACTATATGCCAAGAACTGTGAGAACAATTTTTTTTAAAGCAGATGCTGCCCTCAAGAAGCATACATTCTAATGGGGGAGACAACATGTTAATAACTAGATAATATGCAAGATAAATACAGAGTACCTCATTCACAGCTTTGAGAGGTTGGGGGAGGTACCTGGAATTAATCCTGAGAGGCTATTAGAATATTTGAGAAGGATTTGAAGCAGGAAAAGTCCTCAATGACTCTTTAGACTAGTCCTTTCATTTTAGAAAACCAAGGTTAGGAGAAATGTTAGGTTGCCATAAGTCACACAACTAATAAATGGGAGGGTCCAGATTTAACCCCAGGTCCTTGGACTCCAAATTCAGAGCTCTTTCCATGACATCCCACTGCCTTCTCACACTGTTCTATTTTCTAACATTTTCTAGCATCGGAGCCCACAGGATAAAGACAAAAAGCCAAGACCGAGCCTTCGCCACTTACGTGTGGACAGCTGTCGATGGGAACGCATTGCTTCTTCTGACACTCAGTCTTGCCTTTCATGCAAGCACAGATGGTGCAATTAACAGAGGACCACATCTCTCCATCCTGTAGAGGGGAACACAAGCAGTCACTTAGCCAGCCCAGCAGAAGGTCTCTCAATAGCATTTCTCCTCACAGGAGAGTGTTTCGTTCCTTTAGGGAGGGAAGCCACTGTTTAGTCCAAATTGCTTTGAGTTAGCCATCTCCAGCCACTAAGCCTTGGGCTGGAAATCAGGGGAATTCTTTGTCTCTGTCCCCACGGTCCAAAGCAAATTCTTTGGAGTCTAAGCAGACCACATTTGCATTTTGCATTTTTTATTTATTTGGTTTCCTTCATCTAGGGATACAATCGCACATGAATTTTCATACAGGGTTACAAAAATCTAATTTTCCACTCGGTGACATGATTGAGGCATTTAGGCCCTGACACGCAAGGACATTTCATGAAAATGTGAGGGAGCAGAGCATTCATTCCTTAATGTGACACCCCTCTGGCATGGCCCACCGAGGGCACAAAGAACAAAGCTTAATCCAGGTGACCGACAATACCATAGCAGACACCTGATCAGCTGAAAGTCCCAGACACCAAATCCTGTGCAGGTAAATGTGCAGGGGCCCTCCAGGTATGGCTGGCATCCTCTCGCCCACATGCAAGGGCCTCACTTGGAAAGCATTTCCTAGACTTGTTCCTTCCTCTGAGGAAGGGTTGTTTGGGGAACCGTCTTGGCTCACAGCATGTTGGATTTTACTTGTGCCAAGTACAGTGAGTAACTGAGTGACTGACGCTCTGTCCCAGGCACGAGAGGCCCCTGGGCCTTGTTAATGCTTGCACAGGGCAGTGTAGCGGGTTGTGGGGTGGGAAGATGGAGATGGGGAGCAAGACAGAGGGGCCTGGAAACAAAACAGAAGCCAGTCACATCCTGTGAGGAAACAGGAATCACTGGAGCCTCACCGAAAACTGGAATGGACCCTAGAAATTGGCATGGGGACAGCCTTCACTAGCACAGAGCCCAACCTAGTGGTGCCTCCTCATCCCATGTCCTCTGGTGGGAGCAGAGATTTAGAGGTGCACAGGCCTTCAGAGGAGGCCATCTAGCCCAACTCCCTCATTTTATAGAAGAGGAAATTGAGGCACCAGAAGTGAAGTGACAGGGTCTCACGGCTAGTAAGTGTCAGAGATCAGATTTGGACTCAGGTCTTCCTGACTCTTCTATTCACTAAATCTTGCATAGAGGATCAACACCTTGAAGGCTTTCCTCTGTAGTTTAAGACAGGGTGTTCCAAAAGTCTTCGAATGACTTTATGCTGGCAAAGCTTAGAACTACATTGGGATTACTGCATTAGGATTTTTGGGATACCCCATCCATTCTCTGGAAAGTGGGGAACCCATGTGGGGCAGGGGGGCTGAGGTACATAAAACACGCAGAGGATGCATTTCCTCTCACTTTGTGTCTGTCTTGTCCAGTTTTCACATTGACTTTGTTGTGTCCACATTGTGCTTTCTCCTAGCGCAGGGACAGATTTTGCTTTCATCCTTGCAGTCGCAGGGCTAGAGCACCCAGGTGTATAGTGGAAAGAGTCCTGGATCTGGGTGCAATCGATCTGGGCTCAAATACTTCCTTCAGTACTACCTGTGTGATCTTGGCCAAGTCAATGAACCTCCCTTGGCCTCAGTTTCTTCATCCCTTAAATAAGGGAGTTGGACCAGATAAACTGACATCCCTTCTAACTTTGCATCGATGATCCTTCGATTCTGGAAGTCAGAAGACCTGCATCACCCCCAAAAGGATGAGCAGAAAAAGCAACTAGGAGCGATGGGTAGAAATTGCAGAGAAAAAAACAATTTAGGCTTCATGTCAGGGAGAACTTCTTTATAATTGTTACTATGTCAAAATAGAATGGGCTGCTCTAAGAAAGTACTGAGTTCAAGAAAAGGCTGAATCACCATTTCTCTGGCCTGATGGAAGGCGATTCTTCTTCATGAGGTAGAGTTCAGTGGTGCCAAACTCAACTATAAAAAGACCACTCAGCCATACATAAGATTCTCTGCCAGTGGCTTATTGACTTAGAAAACCACTTATTAACAGCAACTATGTTTTATTGTATTTTTATTTATTTTGTTAAATATTTCCCAACTACATTTCAATTTGGTTTGGGCCCACTCAGGGATATTGTGGGAAGTACTCATCAGGTGGGCAGTAGATGTCAGCTGAGGTCCCTTCCAACTCTAAGATCCTGTGATTCAGACCCTGCCCCTGACATTTGTTCACTGTGTGACCCTGGCCAAGTCTCTAACCTCCATGTGATTCAGATGATTCCCAGGGCCATATCTACTAGGTACAGACAGTTTGTGATCCGCATAGATAGAGAGAATTCCCATACCAGGAGTTCTCAACACCAAGGAAACCAGAGATCTACGAGTTATCTAATGAGAGGATACATATGAAAGTACTTTGAAAGTTGCAAAGGGACTTTTTTCAAATGGAACTTATTATTGCTGAGCAGAACCAGCAATGGAATTAGATTCTATATTAGATTCAGACCACTGTGTCCATAACATCAATGGGTAATCACCGCCAGGTTGAAGCAAGCCACCCACGCAAAGGAGAAAGAAGTGAGTCCCAGACAGTCCATTGGCAGGAGTCAACCATGTAAGGAAAGACCTTCCCTTTCCTGCTGGTGGAAACGTTGTTATTTCGGTGTTTGTAAGAATGTTTCTATGGCAAGACTGTAGTGATGGGAATCTCAGTAAATACGGAGGGGGAGTCTTTCTCTGAGGGGAGGGAGAAGGAAAATGGGCAGAATACTTCCTGAGAGACAAGTGATCTGTGAGACCCTAGAGAAGCGCACAGTTCTCATAATCTGATCCAGGAAAGGTATGATCATTCATTAAGCTCTGGTTCTATCAGGCATCTTGCATGTTCTGCAAATGAGCTGAGAACCAAGAACCTCATTGGGATTGGAAAGGGGAGCTTAGTGGGAGGTCCAACAGAGGAGAGGGGCTTGGAGCTCTGAGACAGGAACAAGCAGCTGGCTGAGACCTGCAGATGAGCTCTCAGGAACCTATCAGGCTACCACCTAACACTGAGGGCACACTAGTGATACCAGAGCCAGGTGTGAGCTTAGAAAAAGAGGCAAGGACGCCAAGCTCTGCCTCAATGTACGACCAACCTTCACAAAGGGCTAGTGAAGCCTTCAGGCCAAGTGAACAGAGCAGTGAGAAATGAGTCAGGGGAGAGGATCAGATTTCCAGGGGCCAAAGCCACAGAGACTCAGGAGGAAGGAAGGGGAAAAAAGGCAACGTTAATTAGGAATCTTAATGCAAAGAAACATATTCATCCTCACAGTTTTCTTTGAGCTCCATTCCAGTCACACTGGCCTGCCAACTGCTCCTCAATCATGATGTCTCACCTCCTACTTCTGAGACTTTGTCCGTGAAGGCTGTTCCTTCCCCCATGCCCGGTATGCCTTCCGTCTTCACTCCCACCTCATAAAATTCCCTGCTTCCTTCAAAACAAAGCTCCCACATGAGTTCCTCTCTGATCTTCCCAGTTGTTAGAGTTCTTTCCATTCTGAAATGCTTTTGCATATATTTTCATTTACTTATCTGTATGCATGCCATATTCCATCAGGAGGACATAGTAAGATCCATGGGCACTATCCCACCTAGCCTTCTCTAAAAGACATTCTGAGGAAGGAGGAGAGCTGGAATCTCCAATTCCTTTTCACAAAAGGGAGCTGGGTAGCCCCAAACAGGAGAGAAGTGTGGGGCATGGCAGCCAGAAAGTTCCCTAAGGGTTTAACATCAGCAGATGTTGGGGTTACCACAGACCCCTCCCCCTGTTTGGAATAGCCAAAGAGGAAATAATTGACAAACTTTTCCTTTTGAACTGCTTCTCAAACTGCTTAATCCTATTAAGACCCCACAGAGGCAGACTTGCAAGAGAGGTTTCATTTGGGATATTGACAGTCATCACAATGGAGCCCAAGAGCCCTGCTCCAGACGTTACCCGGAAGATCTTGCTCCCAAGCTTGCATACACGGACGTCTTTGGGGGGCATATGCACAAGGCATTCTTCACAACAGGAGTCTCTGCTCTTAGCACAAGCTCCTGGAGGAAAGCATTTCTTCTTGCACACCACGGTGGAGTCCTGGCATGAGAGGCAAAAACAAAGACAAGTGAATGCTTAAGAAATGACGTTCTCCTCACACACTGGCACCTGCTCTACCCCAGCCTGGGGTCCAGCATCAACCCCTTCCCCCTCCCTGGCCCCCACCACATGCCCCACCTCTGCCTTCAGAATTGCCCTCTTCTGGAGTACTTCTGAAGCACTAACTCTATTGGACTTCCATTTGTATGCACAATTTTTTGTGTTTCTAAATTTGATAGTTTTTGTTCTCACATCACTTTCATTTCCAAATATCTCCCTCCCCTATCCCTTATACAGTAAGCCATCCCTTGTTCATAAAAAAAAGGAATGAGGGAAAAAGTCATTCTGCAAAATTAACAGAGATTTTAGCTGGGTAGGACCATGTATGTAACGTTCCACAGCCATAGTCACCCACCTTTGCCTAAACAAATAGTTAATGAGAATCTACTATTATACAAAGTATTGTGATGGGGGGACAAGAAGATGCATTAGATGGAACTACATGAAGACCACATGGGAGGCTATAGAAAGAATGCCAGACTTGGGTCAGGAAGACCTGGGTTCAATCCAATCCATGCCTCAGACTCTTAATAACTATGTGACCCTAAGTAAGTCATTGAATCTCTCTCATCTCAGTTTCCTCATCCTGCTTCACTATGAGGCTCAAATGAGATAATCTATTAAAATGCTCTATAAATGATGACTATCATTATGAAACACGTGCCAGCCCTTTAGAAGCTTACAGTAGACCAGGAAGAGGATTGTGATTCTCCTGGCAGCTGCAGGGAGAGGGCTGAGACTGCCCCATAGACCCATTTAAACTGGGAGGGAGGCCTGGCCTCTATTTCATCAATTGCCAAGTCTCTGATTCTATCTCACCCCCACCCCCCCATGCCTCTCATCCAGCTTTTTCTCTTGACTCACACACTTGCTTCTTGCCTCTTGCCTGGATTATTGCAATAATTATTAAATTATTAATAATAATAATTATATTCATATAATTAAATTATTGCAATTGGTCTCCATGTCCATTCCATTCTCCAGCCAATCAATTCATCCTCCATGCAACTAAAGGAGTGATTTTCTTAAAGCTCAAATCTGACTATGTTACCCTCACCCTCCCATTCAATAAACTCCAATGGCTCCCTATTACCTTGAGGATTAAATAAAAACTCCTCTGTCTGCCATTTCAAGCCCTGCATGACCTGGTTTTCAGTTGGTCATCCAGTTGATAAGCAATTATTATGTGCCTACTATGTGCCAGGCACTGTGCTAAATACTGAGACTACCAAAAAAAAGCAAAAAAAAAATGCCCTGCCTTCAAGGAGCTTATAGTCTAATGGGGGAGGCGACATGTTATATTTGGATAAATTGGAGCTAATCATTAGAGAAAAGCATCAGCCTTTGGGAGGGTTGGCAAAAGCTTCTTCAGAAAGTGGGATTTTAACTGACGCTAAAACAAAGCCAGGGAAGTCAGGCGGCCATAATGAGGACAGGGAGAATTTCAGGATGAGGATTGGTCAGTGAGAATGGAGAGATGGAGGGGCTTCTGCAAAGAACAGTGAGGAGGTAGGGTCACTGAATCAGAGTAGCCCCATAGGTTAATAAATGCCTCATTGTTCCTTTACATACATTCTACAGTCCAGCTGGCCCATTTCTTGTTCCTCACATTCAATTTCCTACCTCCATGCCTTTGCCCTGGCTATCCCCCATGCCTAGAATGCATTCCTTTTTCAATTCTACCTCTCAGAAATCCTGATTTCCTTCAGATCTCAGCTCCAGCACCACCTCCTACTTGTGGCCTTTCCTGATGCCCCTAGCTACTAGTGCTTCTCCCACCAAAATTATCTCATATTATTTCTGTAAATAGTTTGTACATGCTTATGTATGCTATTTCTCCTGGTAGAGTGTAAGCTCTTTGAGGGCAGGACTATTTCACTTCCTGCTTTTGTGTCTCTAGCACCTTGCACAGTGCCTGGCACATAGTAGATGCTTAATAAATGCTTTTTTACCTTTTTCCCAAGGAAGAGATATGAGAGAATACCTCTCCCCTCTTCTTTGAGGAGGGATTATGTGTATGGAACACTGTGTGTTTTGTCAAATATTGCTTAGTCTTGCTGAACCGCTTTTCTTCCTCCTTCTGATTCATAGTTTTTAAGGGACTGCTTTCTGGGAGAGGGAGGAGGTGATACTCCCACTAAGAACTGTAAGTGATGTAAAAACAAAAGCTAGGGATAGACATTATTTTGAAAAATAAATCAATGTCTGCTGATTAACTGACAGGGCAGGAACTGTCTCATTTTGCCTTTGTCGCCCCAAGGCCTGACATAGTCCCTGGTACATAGTAGGCATTTAATAAATGCTTGTTGACTGAGACACATCTTTGGCCCTCTTCCTGCCTGTCTTTTCCCCTTCATTCTGCACTAGCAGTGCCGGCGTCCATCCAACAGCAATACCCTGACCGCAAGCTGGGAATAGGTTAGGTCCAGTGGGAAGTGCATGGAGACCACCATGATGTAGGCGGAGGGTCAGGGGCAGATGCAAGACAGGGGAGCCACTGGACCCAGGCCATTGGGGAGGACAAAGTTCCTGTGTCCTTAGGATCCAATCCATCCCCTGAAATGAAAACAGTCTGCCAAACGCCTGCTGGAGAGAAAGTCAACCAAGTCTGCACAGCTCTGCTGTTAAAGCCATTACTCAAGGAGAGGCCTTCAAGAGTGATTTAAATGACATTAAGCCCCATTCCAATAACAGACTCATCCACCACCACGTTATTTCTCACAGACAACCACAAAGCCACCACAAAATAAGGACATTTGGTCTCTAAATCGTTTCGTCAGGTTCCACTGGCTGCCGGGGAAGGGAAAGATGAAGCTGGAGACTGGATGAGGCTTCCAAGTCAGGGCTCCCCAGCTGGCCTAGCGTGTACCCCCCCACCCCTCGTCCCACTCCCAAGCCTTCTTACATTTCCACCAAGAGTCATAGGCCATTACCAGGCTTCTCTCCTCCCCTGAGATACCCTCCAGCTGCAAGGAGAGAGTTCAGGCAACCATTTCTACCCCTAATCCACCTTCTCTGCGGGGAGTGCCTGGAGCTTCCAAGCCCCAACCTGCACCCCCCCCCCAATTCCTGGATTCACAGACTTCAAGTCAATATAAATTCTCTTTGCACCTTCCTACCAACAGGCCAGGGACCCCTGCTCCAAGCAACTTGATCCTCCCAAAGGTAAACCTCAGTGAAAACGTCTATGAAACTGCTTCTGAACTGGAGATTAATAACAAGGAATACCCAGGAACCAGAGAGACCCATCTCAGGGCAAACACAGCTCATGGGGAATCAGGGCAACCTGGCAGGAGGGGAGTCCAAGGAAATCAAAAAGTGATGGGTGCTGTCAAAGCCTAAACATCCCCATTAAGAATCCGTAATCTGTGAAATTCCTGGCAGAAAAGCCAAACAAAGATCCCCAGGAAGGAGGCCAAGGTAAACACCAAGGGGCTGTATATTTAGTATATGATAATGCAAGCACAGGAAAGGAGATGGGGAAGCAGAGGAGAGTTGGGTGGAGGCAGAGGCTTTAAGGCCAGGGTGAAGGAAGTATGCAATGCCCTCCCTGGCCCATCCGGGAGATCAGCAGAGTTTGAGCCCTTATTTCTGGCCACTGATTTATACTAGTTGATAATTGTGAGTGAGTTTCTCTCTCTCTCTCTCTCTCTCTCTCTCTCTCTCTCTCTCTCTCTCTCTCTCTCTCT